TCTTCCACTTCTTTAGAAGCTGGTGTTCAAGAATTGATTTATCTTTTTAGGAGACACTGTCTAATCGCCGGAACAAGAACCTAGCCGTCACAGGCGGAGGACCAGTCGACGAGTTCGATTCGAAGGCGATGACGACGCCGCCACCTCCGCCGCGCTCCGGCTTATGGGCAGGTGTTAATAAGCGTAGGCCCGAGGTGGTACCCGCCGCTGGTCCGCCGTCGGTGCAGGCACCACCGTACATCTTGTCCGAAAGCTGTGCTACCGGCTCAGAAGATGTGAACGAAAGTCAGGATCTTGATCGCATTCGAGGCTCGTACGAACCTCCGTTACCAGCGATGAACAATGACACGTCAGCGTTCAGCAGACGTTTCGATGAAAGGGTGTACGCGAAGAGCAGGTCCTCGAAGTTCAGTGCCCGAGCGAGGGCCGAAATGAGGCGTTTGAGGCGAGTGTCGGACAGCAGCACGGCGTCTGAGATCGACGAAGCGTCGGCGATGTTCCTTCGGGAAAAGCAGGCCTTCCTGAAGGTGTCAGCTACGCATCCGAGCACGGCTACTGAATCAGCCACCGCCAATGAGCTGCTCTCCGGGGAACTGCAGATCAAGCTGTCGACTACTAGCACCGAAGGTGATTCCGAAGAAGAAGACCACTGCTACGGGTCGAGCAAAGAGTCGGCGATGGGCAACACGAACCACATGAGCGATTCGACCTGCTTCGACGAGATGTACAGCATTTCGCAGGCGAACAAGTTTGTTCCCCCTCCAAGTATGAGTTCGCTGACTTCAAAGCTGCCTCCTCCCACACCTCCAAAGCCTAGACAGGAGGCGACGCCATCGATATCCTGTGTTATTGCTACCTCTACGCCTTCGTCAACCCGGAATATCACTACGCGTCTGACCTCAATGAAAAACCATGTTTCGTCGACCCCGACGACTCCTTTGGCAACAGAGAGTAAAAAATCGCAGAGACCTCAGTACTCAAGTGGCAGCATCCGGTTGGACTTGGATGAACCATCTGATGTATCGCGAATCAGTGTCCATACGTCTGCAAGCACTTCGAAAGAGGCGTTGATTATGAAAAACCATTTTGGCGACATCCCTGACTTCCTCTACGACTCGCACGCCGCCTCTCCAAGGATTATTAAAAATGACTACAGTTATCCAGCCTCTCCAGTAATAAAGCGCCCTGAAAAACGAGAAGCAAATTCTCTGAGAGTTTCTTCTTTCAGGGAGAAGGTCGCACATTCTCTTCGCAACATGCTTCACAAGGATCGCCACACGTGCGACCGTAATCAGTCAGAATACAAGACATATGAAAGCCAACCCCGGCATTTACCGTTAGCCGATGTCGCATTGAACACGGGTCACTGCTACGACAGCTGTCCCCGTCTGACAAATCTGAGACGCTGCGATTTCTGTGATTCGTCAGGACGGTCATCAGATAAGACGTCAGTACGATCGCCCCGACGTAACAGACGGCCGTGGAGACTGCACAAAACTAAATCCTA